GCCTCCATACACACATACTCTTTCAAAGGAATACAACTGTGCTCTTTTAATACAGATTTTCAGTGTTGCCCTGGATAACCAAACATGAGCCATCATAGTAGTAAAATGGAGACTAAGACAATTGCCTAGTTTTCTCTGGTAAACGTGATTTCATGTCAGACTTTCATGTCAGATGCTTTGAACAACTAAACAGTTGCAACAAAGTCTCTGCTGTGTAATCTCCTTCCAGATATACAGTCGTCCAGTGACCTTCAATCATCTCTCAGATTTCGTTTGATTTGCAGATCCCTTTCAAACGCCCCTACAGTACAGATCCCTGAAAGTAAGTTTGGATATACCAGTAAGAGTTTCACTTTTAGCAACTTAGGACTGATGTACTTCACTGGTTTTTAAAGGTCCTTTTAATCACTAGTGGAAGAAAACAATTCTTATCTTCAGTGTTCATGGACACAAGAGATTCATGCCACAGAGTGTTAGGTTATGCGATAAAAGCTCCTCTGCACCCCCCCAGAAAGGCAATGGCAGGCGGGGGAGCCCAAAGGGCACCCTGTCCCTGCTGCTTCCAGGCCCATCACAGGAGCTGTCAGGCCATCAGGCTATGTTCACAAGCACAGAGAAGCACAGAGGCCCCAAGGCAGGTGGGAACTCAAATTAATTCATTAATGCAGGCAGACACACTGTCTGGGCCCCACCTGGGAGGCAGACATTATGGGATACAGGGGAAGAGCATTTTGGGATTGCAAAGGCTTATTATGAGATGTTTAGGGGAAAAGTGATACACCTAAGTGATTCCGGGAGGAAAAAGTGTAGGAAAGTAGAGTGGTAAGGGGTAAACAGGGCCAGTCATACATAAATACTTGCTGGTCACCCAACTAGTGCAGTCTCTCCTCTCTTCTTGTTAAATTAATTTCTGATTCTTTTCATCAGTGATGGGACTCTATATTCTGGGAGGGGGTTGGGTGTATATGGCTGTCTGGGTGCCAGCAACTGCAGTCAGACCATGGAGGATCCACATGTTCATGGCGCAGCAACTGGAGTGACCAGAGTGAGTGGACTTCAGTGCCAGGAACTGGAGCAGCACCTCAGCCATAGGGGCCTGTGTGTCTGTGGTGGTAGTGGCTGGAGCAGGTGTGTGTCTAGGTTCCAGCAGCTGGGCTGGTACCATGGGCAGGGCAACTAGACTCTCTCCAGTATGTCCATATATCTCTTGTACTGGGGAGCCCAGAACTGGACACAGTACTCCAGGGTGTGGCCTCACCAGTGCTGAGGAGAGGGCAAGGATCGCCTCCATTGACCTGTTGGCAGCACCCCTCCTAATGCAGACCAGGGTATCATTTGCCGCCTTTGCCACCAGAGCACACTGCTGGCTCGTTTTCAACTTGGTCTCCCCCAGGACCCCCAAAGACCTTTTCTGCAAAGCTGTTTTCCAGCCTGCCAGCCCCCATCATGTACTTCATATACCTGGGGTTGTCCCTCCCCAGGTGCAGCACTTTGCACTTCCTCTTGTTCAGCTTCATGAGGTTCCTGTCAGACCATTTCTCCAGCTTGCCAAGGTCCCTCTGGATGGCAGCACAACACTTTGGTGGATCAGCTGATCCTCCCAGTTTTGCATCATCAGCAAGCTTGCTGAAGATATACTCTGCCCTATCATCCAGATCATTAATTGGACCCAGTGTTGCCTCTGGGGTATGCCATTAATAACTGGCCTCCAACTAGATTTCATGTCACTGATTACCACCCTCTGTGCCCAGCCATTCAGCCAGTTTTCAATCCACCTCACTCTCACCTCATCCAGCCCATCCTTCTTCAGCTTCTCTGTGAGGATTTAAGGCAGACTGTCAAGGTAGACGATACCCACTGCTCTCCCCTCATCTACCAAGCCAGCCACTTAACTGTAGAAAGTTATCAGGTTGGTCAAGCATGACTTCCCCTGTGTGAACCCATGCTGGTGTCTCCTGATCACCTTCTTGCCCTTCATAAGCCTGGAAATGGTTTCCAGGACTAGCAGTTGTTCCATTGTCTTCGAGCAATCAAGGTGAGGCTGACTGGCTGGTAGTTCCCTGCATCCTCATTCCTGCCCTTCCTGAAGACAGGAGTGACATTTGTTTTCCTCCAGTGCTGAGGCACCTCTCCCAGTCACCATGATTGTTCAGAGATAATGGAGAGTGGCCTCGCAATGACATCAGGTGGCTCCCTCAGCACTTGTGGGCACATCACATCAGGGCCCACAGGCTTGTGTATGTCCAATTTGCTTATGGGTTCTCTAACCTGACCCTCTTCCACCAAGGGTAAGTCTTCCTTGCTCTAGACCTTCCCCTGGTCTCTGGGTCCTTAGGTTTCTTAAGGCCTTAGATGTCTGAGTTAAACATTGACATCAACACTGGGAATTTCTCTGGGGGCTTAACAACATGGACTATAGTTTTTTAGTGATTTGCTCACAGTGAAAAGGCCACTCTCAATTTCAAGCCATGCCCCTATCCATACCTACACAGGAGAGATGCCTTTCAAACTCCAAAATTCCTTAGTGCTGTGATTTAACCATACATTTAAACACAGTACCTGTGACATAATTGCATGGCTTCTGCAGCAGCTGTCCCCTCATCCAGCAAAGATGCGTTGGCCACATCCATTCCTGTGATATCACACACCATAGTCTGGTAATTTAGCAAGCTCTCCAGCCTGCCCTGGGAGACCTCAGGTTGGTAAGGAGTATACTGGGTAACCCTGTAAGAAAAGAGTTATGAGTTTGGGTCTAGGAAAATAAATGTGTAACAGAATTATGCCAATATGTAACTGAACCATGTCAAAGGAAAAATACATTGTAAAACATAATTCACTAACATGAAAGTTTGTTAGAGAACAGTTATTTTTAGAGGGCTGTAATTTATTACTGTCCTGGAAGCCTGAGAATATTTTCTCTTCTGGTATTGACTTGGCTTTTTTACAGGAGAAGAATTCTATTTCTCCATTTTGAAAAGAGAAATTACTTTTAAAACAGAGGTGTGAGTGCATCTCGGGGAAGGGAGAGGGGAAGTAGGTGGGAGAATTGTGTGGAGAGAAGCGTGGGAGAATTGAGTCAAGTGACAACAACCAAATGAGAATGCTTAGTTCAATCATATCTAGGCATCACCATTATCTTTTAATACTGTTTCTGAAGCCCTTCACTTGCCAAGTCTTCTCCACTCTTCTGGGAGGAAAGGCACT